ATTCAAAGATGTTTCATTTTAAAACTTCAAAACAGAGCATCGGGTGCTTGCGTGAATGCGTCGTTCGTGTGCTATTTTTTTCGTGACTTTCCTGGCCGAAGGCCGTAAATGGTTGAGGGGTGCCACAGGCGCCCCCGAACAACCCCTAGTTACCTACTATAATGAGCCAATAATGTCTGTGTGCAACGCTCGTGACGTCACTCCACGTCGACCAGCCCCCCTCATTAATAATCATTAACAAGTTACGTCCTCCACATAGACCCCCCTCATTAATAAACATGAGCCGGTGACGTCACTCCACATCGAACTGCCCCCCTCATCAACTGCCCCCCTCATCAGTGGCTCAGAGGAAAGCGCTCCAGAGGGTCATCAACACAGCCCAAAAGATCGCCGGCTGCCATCTCCCCACATTGGAAGAACTACACAGTTCACGTTGCATCAAAAAAGCACAGAACATTATAAAGGACTCTTCTCACCCTGGACACTCACTGTTTGAGCTGTTGCCATCAGGCAGACGATTCAGATCAGTCAAAACAAGGACAAACAGATTCAAACAGAGCTTTTATCCTACAGCGATCACCACACTCAATAATGCTAATTAATTATTAAGTAATAGTGTTTACAATTGACTGTGAAATAGAGATGTGCAATGACAAAATGTAACCTTATGTGGGTATGTGGGTATACTTGGGCTGTTTTTATATATAGTATAAATTGATTATCTTTCATTTAATTGTATTTTTATTTTCTTGTTTTATTTAATTAAATTTATGAATGATGCCCTGACTGGTGAGCATTTTAAATTTCGTTGTACTGGTGACAATGACAATAAACGATCTATCTATCTAATCATGAGGTGACGTCCTCCAAATGGATACCCCCAACATTAATAATAATTAGCGGGTGACGTCACTCCACATAGTGGGGGGCGAGGCGAATCCTCCCCCCCCTCCTCAGCGTCAACTTACAACCCTCACTGCAAAGGCAGAACACTCACGTCACGCGATCTCCGTAACGCTGTTGAGACACTGAATTAAAAAGGACGTCATGATGAACAAGGGCTTATCACCTTTAAATGAAATAGGTCAGTGTCACCGCGGCCTTCCAAATTGCACACGCATTGATGTAATGAATATCACGTCGCGGTCTGCTTTTCGCTTGCAAGTTTCAGATTTACTGCAATACACCCGTCCTTGGATGGCCAAAAGGCTAGTTGTATATATCTGGTCAGATGGCGTATTTTGGTTTTGACGTGTATTCCATTTGAACCCTTTTTCATTTTAGTTTCTGTACAGCTCGAAATAAATGATCCGAGTATTAAGACGCTAGAAAGTCTAAATTAGTTTCGTGTACCGTTGGAAATGATGTTGCCACGGTGCTAATGGTGAGCACACTGGACTTGTAATCCAAAGGTCACCAATTCGATATGCCCCAACGTGGCAGTTGAAATAATGGGTACATTTCTTACATCCCGCCAGCCTATGTACCCCTGTTGGACATGCATTCTGATACTACACTACAGCTAGTAATCTCGCCATAAAGGGTAATTGGGTAAGCGAATAAAAACGTACTGACCCACCCACACTGGGAATCTGTGAAAAAGAGCTCTGTATGTCATCGGATTCCTTAAGTCTAAATAAAGATTTTGATTCTGAATTGAAGATGGGTTTAAAGCAAAGTGAGATTTGATGGCGTAGTGAGGTTCAAGAACACTGATTTAGAGCTATTACATCTTGACTTAAAGCTTTCGCGACTGTAGGAATTCATATTCTTGGGTCATAGATAGGTTCAAAGAAAATAACCAAAAATAACAAACAAGCAATCGTCATCAGGAGAAAGAAAAACGATTGCTTGTGTTGCGATCGAAACGTCGTAGTTTTTAGATATTATTTGTTATTTTCTTTGAACCTATCTACGTAACTTTACCGAAACACCCAAGAATATAAAAGAGCTATTATGTTCTGCGGACGATAGGGGGCAGCACTTTAAGGATGAATGAGGTGGGTGATGATAGTGCAGCGGCGATGGAGATTTCGTTTACAAAGCTAATGAAATTAGTTTCTTCACAACATACGAATACCATGAACAAGGTAGTAGTAATAGTAGAACAGGGCCTACAAACGTGCCCCTTCGACGGACGGAAATATGCCTCCAATAGAAGTTATTAGTGCAGTATTGGCAATGTTTTTTAGGTGTACGCCCTTTGCAACAAGGGCTATGTCGTCTTCGTATATTCATTTACGAGATGACGTACATGGCAGGTCACTTATACGTATGTTAAATAGCGAGGGCTCGAGGACACTAGCTTTGCTCAGAATTGGGCATTGTTCAGAATTATCTTGCTGTGGTGTTCATCAGCGAGGTGTGACCCTGGAAGTTTCGTTGTGCATCGCTTCGATTAGTTGTACATTATGTCTTGTTATAATTGACCCCTGACATGTTTCTCTCTTTGCATATTCGTTTCTGTTTTAAATAAAAACCTTACTTAAAAAAGAGATTAAGTTTAAGAGAATGCTATGGGTGGGGGGGGGGGGGTTACAAGGCATCTGGACCACCCTGTAGTACAGTAACTATGTTGCATTTATTTCGCATCGTACGTGGCCAACCGTGCCAATCGCCGGTGCGGGCAAGTGGAACGAATTCTGATGATTTTAGCCCAACAGCAGCAGCAAGCCATGACCCCCCGGACAGCAGCAGAGAGGTCAATGGCTCAAGGGTGGAAAAAACCCGATTTTTTTTGCTAATTTTATCGGGTTATTGGTTTTATTAAAAAAAAAACGATTTTGTCGACAAAAAACATGGTTTTAATCCAGCAAGTCTCTTGATGAAAACGAGTTTTTCCACCGACTTCACGCTCAGGCTGTTCCTCAGCTTGGAGTGAATGAAGGCCATGGTGAAGAAGTTCCTCTCGGATGCGGCACTGGATGTGGCAATGCTGAACAGCTTGACGGCGATCTTTTGCAGTTCAGGCCACTCAATGCCATCGGACAGCCAATACACCATCGGCATCTTGCGACCTTTGACCATCATCTTGTAGCGGAACGTGTTGTTTGTTTTCTCTTTGTGGGGGCTATCAAATCGAATAAAACCAGATATTTGGCCATCTGAGATGATCGTTTTTTTTATTAAAACCATGAAAAACCCGATGATAAAAACCTGATGCTGCCAAAACTCTGGCTTGTTGGGGAAGGCAGTCCCAGGGGGGTTTCGATAATGGGAGAACATATGGCAAGAACGGCACGTTCTATCAACTTGCGGGTGAAGAACAAAAGGGATTTTGGTCTGCAGCCAGAGGGCGATGACTTTGACTGGCTTCCACGTAGTACCAAGTTCACGAGGAACTCTGGACGCAGGCCATCACATCCCACCCAGTACCTTGTTGCACTTAGTGGCCCTGAGGACCACTTTTCCACTTCAGCAACCGTGCATGGCCTTGTTCAAGCTATTGCTTGCGGTAGTTGGCTAAATGTGATGGTGAGTTGTTTCCGGACAGCTTGTTTGGTGAATTTGCTTCTTGGTGCCTTTGAACAAGACAGCATGGATGTGAACTACGTCGCATAACACACCCAGCAGTACACCACAGTCGAGGGTACATCACAAGTCGATCGCCAGGTCGTCCACACGTGGTTGGGTAAATTTGTGTGGACTATACCTCCTCCTCTTTTGAGATGTCTGACCAGCATGCACATTGAGAGCTTCATTCACAATTGGAGATTTTCAAGTTGATTCCCGGGTCTTGGATCAACTCGGCGTATCACCCATCCAGAGTCGATTTTGTAAGCACAACCCTGCGGGAAGTGAACAGTGATTGGGCGTGTGGGGGAGCATGCACCCTGCTATTGAAATATATAAATAACTAGCGGAAAGAACCCAGCATTGCCCGGGTGTTAAAAATATTTGAAAACTGCTCTTAAAAATGTAACAGCAGTGCGTACTGACTGTGGTGGTACCTGCTATGATGACAGCAGTGCATACTGACTGTGGTGGTACCTACTAGGATTACAGCAGTGCATACCGACTGTGGTGGTACTTGTTATCACTACAGTAGTAAATGTTGACTCTATAGCAGTATTTATCGACTGTATAGCACAAAGTACTCACCTGACAGAGTGGCATGGTGAGGCCTAGTCCCGTGCAAAGCCTCCGGCCTCACCTAGATTGTCCAGCCGGCCGAGGTGGCACCTTGGCAGGCTGGGGCTGGGCTGCTCCCCCTGACCCCCTCCCCAGCCACGATCTCCCCGGCCGCTCTGCAGTAATATCTACGGCCTATCGTGGTAACATCTAGCGACTGTGTAGTAGTAATAACTGGACGCATCGGGGTGGGGGGGGGACATCACACAGTGAAGAATTTACCTGAGCGTTTAGTGTATTTTATAGCATTTTTAACACGAAAGAAAATGTCCCCCTCACTCTCAGCAAAGGTGTGCAACTGGCAAGGGGCCGTCTACCCCACCAAAGGCACGTGAGTTGTTATGGTCGTGCACTCGTCATAAATAAATAAAAGGGAAGCGCACACAGATCGGCAGTAAATCGCTAATTAAGCTAATTTAAAGTTGACGGATGTGAAAAAGGAATAGCGCTTGCTCACCGCTGGGCTTACGGCGTGGTACCTGGCTGTTTTTTACATGAACCCCACCGTTGGAGAACCAAGCGCACGACCACACACAAACCCACACACAAAGCCACAAACCCACACACAATTTTTTTACTTTTATATATAAAAACTGCTTTCAAAGGAAAAATATAATAGGGCGACGTTTTAGACAAAGGCCCTTCTTCAATGCACATGCCCAAAACATAGTTATATGTATGGTCATGCTAATTTTGACGAATGTGTTAAAGTGTTTTGTTGTTATATATGCTTGTGCACCACTGCTTATGCAGCAGCGTCAGCAAATAATTTGCTTCATTGACTGATAGGACGGACAGAGATGCGCCCAAGCCTCTTATCTTATTTTGTTTGAAGAGCTTGATTACTATCACAGAGTACACTCGGTGAACTTTGTCCATAGTGCAAGCTGAAGCAGTAGGTGTGGAATTTGGACCGAGTAAGCTTGTTAAACCAGAGTCATTTCTCCCATTCCAGCATTTGAATAGGGTTGGAGCTGGGTGAGAATTATTATTCATGTAAAAAGGAATAATGTTGCTTATGTGAAGTGTGGCAAAAACGCACTGTCAAAACGCACTGTCAAGTGAAACGAATAAGGATTTGATTGTTTCAGCAAGATTTGTTGTCACCAGCGATTGGCACGTGGCTGAGATACAGCGGAGGGCACGGCGGCGCAGCGTGACTAAGATGGAGCTCCTCTCTCTCCTTGCTGGGGCTGTGGTGACGGTGGCTTGCATTCTGCTGGCCTCTTGGATATTCTGGCCGCAGCTGTGGCTGGGTGCTTGGCGCTCCCTGCGTCTCCTGCGCGATGCGATGTACAGGCACCGCCACTTGTCCCGCAAGCCCATCTTCTCCGTTCTGGACCGGCTGCTCGAGCGAGCGTCCGCCACTCCGCACAAGCTCTTCCTCACCTTCGAGGACGACAGCTGGACGTACGGGGAGTTCGTGCGCGACGTGGCTCGCACCGCGCACGCCTTTCAGGAGGTGGGTTGCCCTATACGCTCGACTCAGTTTGTGAGAACGGGCGTAGTCAAGATATATTTACCGCCACTAAGTGGTGAACGGCGGTTGTTATTGCTGTGCCTTGTCGTCATTCATAAGTGGCTACAGCACACATCATGATTACTGCTCGTTCCCCTCCGCCCTTCTATGCACGACCCCTTGCGATACAGTTGCATTTAGATGCTTTGGAACTACAAATGTAATTTGTGCGGTATCGCCGTGTTGCCTTTTCAGTTTGGGGGCGTGCGCCCGGGCGACACCGTGGCTCTGCTGATGGAGAACGAGCCGGCGTTCTTGTTCGTGCTGTTCGCATGCACATCCCTCGCGTGCCCCGCCATCCTCATGAACACGAATCTGCGCGGTCGCATGCTCTTGCACTGCCTGACCACGAGCAAAGCGCAATTCCTGGTCACTGGTTCTGGTGAGACTCCCATCTCGTCGATTGCACGTGGATGCTCTCGGTGCCCTGCGGGCTACGACACTCCTTGTATTCATGGGGTTAGAATAAGTTTGACCTATGATGTAATTTTTGCTTTTTTACATGTGATGCATTCGTTTCACGTGCATTGGTGTTTGCCACTCAGGCAATGGTCAATTGTAGATGCAATCAATAAACAAAATTTTTTCAAGCTAAGTTGCTATTAAGTCACAGCTACTCTCAGTTCCTTGAGGTTTCAATAGTTTAACCCTCCATTAAATTATGTTCTAAATATACTTAATTCAGAATTTATAATAATAAGAATAATTTACAACCCTTTTATCATTCCCCTAATTTACGAAGTCCTCCCCATCCTTTTCACTCGAGGGGGTTGTTTTGACCATACCTTCCCACACGGCTCAGTGTGGGTTCGTGAAGGCAAGGGCCCAGGTCCCTTTCATATATCACTCGTCACTGATGTTAACCATGGCCAGGAATTCAACTAAATTCACAAGTTCTGTCGCGCAGTGTTTCTGTTTCTCTAAAACTAGGGCCTAAGTTCAGTTGGGTCTGTACATGTCAGCAACCTGGAATATATTTCCACACGAGCCACATCCTGTCTACCTCTCGCTATGCCTGTGGCTACTTGTCGGGTGCCACCTTCCCGGGTTACTCGCCCCATCTAATACCATCAATATATTTAAGTTGTATGTTTCAAACGGCCAGTATACCTTGATTATAAGAATCAAACCTATTTGAATTATGCAGTACAAAGATCAGTGATATATGGCTGTGCCTGACCTCCAACCACGGACAGGGCCACTATTGGTGGCGGTGGAGGAAATGTCAGTGGAGATGAATGAGCTTCAAATCCGTCCTCTGGCCATGGGCGACGCAACCCCCGGGTCAGCTGTGCCATCACTCGCCTCCACTTTCCGTGAGGCCCCCTGCAACCTCCCAGCAGCCAGCGTGCGTGCGCACATCACTGCGAAGGACGCCTTCATATACATCTACACGTCCGGCACCACTGGTTTGTCTGATGACCCATACTGCTGTAATCATGTTCACCATCATCCTATTGTCATCATAATCACCATCAGTAGCATTGGCATTGCCATATTGTATGATCATTATTTCACCATCATCTATGCCAGACTTTTAATATCATAATTGGTAATTGTCTTATTTTTCTGTTGTATTCTAGTCTGTCAGCGAAATAATTTCCAACTGCTGTGCTACAAATAACAATAAAAAATTAAAAGAGACAATACTCAAATGTTTAACAGGTCCATTGATTCTCTCCCGATCCCACACATTGCCAGGACTCCCAAAGGCTGTGAAGGTCAGCCACACACGTGCATGGTCCGGAAACTTCAACTACTTAATGTCCGGCGTAAGAGCAGAGGATGTGGTGTACATCTTCCTGCCACTCTACCACAGCTCGGCTATCATGGCTGCGTTCATCGGCTCCCTCGACATCGGTAAGACTCCTGGGGTAACTGCTTTCCCACGCTTGTGATGTTTGTCCAAGCCCTGGATGTTAACCTACGCTGGTGACATCATCATCGGAGATCTGTGAGCCTCTCAATACTCGTGTCGTGAATCACTTCAGAGACACTAGTAGTAGGAGGCACTCTCGTTTATTCTAGCCATCACAAGTACAGGGGATAACTATACTATGGCCAGGACAGCTAGCACACTGCCTGATCAAGAGCGCCGAGGAGGTGAAGGCGAGGCCGAAGACGGGGATGAAGACTTGGTAGCACGACGGGTTCCATTCAAGACGACAGCCCCGACCCTGAGTCGGGGCCTCCCTTTTATCCCCCCCAGTGTGACCTGGCTCCGCCCTCGGCCATGCCCCCTTCTGGAACCTACCAGTAGGTTCCCGGCTTCACCTCACGTGTCCCCTCCTGTCACTTTTGCCCTACATTCTTTTTCCGGGCCTATCACATGCCCTGCCGGCAGACCGGGCTGCTACACCTTTAGATCCCCCTCTCTGCCAATAACAATTGCTATGTACCCTAGTGACACATTCTATGTCACTACATCACCCCCCCTGTGAAAAAAAACTGCCGTCCCGGCTGACCTTCATACCTCGCGTAGCGGGATGATAACACAATAACAACAACAACCATCATCCCACTTGCGAGTCAAATAACAAGAACAATACATAACCGGAACGTTAGAGTAGACAAGCAAAATTTCGAGAACACATGGCAATACACCCGGCCCCCAGAATATATACAACCCCCAATGACCGTCAGCGTGCCGCAGCCCATGAACAACAGGAAGGGCCCCAGTTCAACCGGTAGCCACAGCCCGGCTTGCATCTGTGTCTACCCGCCAGATGGCATTGGAATAAATAGGACGACTGAGGGCGGGTTATTTGAATCAAACAGTTTTGGGAACGGGTCCTCGTCGCCGGGCCCCCAGGTAGAACAAGAGCGGGTTTTCCAGGGACCCCGGGGACGACTTAAAAATTGCCTAACAGGCTCGGCCCCTAAGATGAAGGGGAAGAAGAAGAGGAAGCAGGTGGTGGTCGTTCCATCCTCCTTGGCTGGCTTGTAGACTGCGCAACTGGTGGTTCTGCGGGTGTCAGGTGCTGGGATCCTTTGGGACTGAAGGAGTGGAGGTTGGCACGGTGGAAGACGGCGAAGGCAGGAAGAATTGCCCAGGTTCGGCGTGGCATCCCTTGGGGATATGGCCCCGCAGGCCACACTTAAAATAAGTGACGGGGGCCCTCCACGGTGGAGGGAAGGTTCTGCTCCATTGTTCCCGCTCCCGTCGCGTCCCGTGTCGGCTCTCCCGCATGGACTCCCGGTGAGTGAGGCACAGACTTGAGGGGGCTCCTGACGCTCCAGTTCGTCCACTTCCCCCGAGGGTCTTGTACAGGCGGCCACCCCGGCTCGCCATCACAGGTTACAATGGGCCTGGATGCATCGAGCTATCTTGATTGAAGTCAGGTAGTCCTCCTCCATGGCGGGCAGAAAAACGTCCATTTCCTGGGTCAACGTCAACAGTCTCTCCAGCACCAGAGAGTCCAGGCCTGCCTGCTCCATCTTCGGGTATGCGGCTTGGTCTAGCGATATCAGCGCACTGTGAAAGGCGAGGGGCATCTCGGCCTCCCCCCGTCTTCGCATCACAAACTTTTGGCGCGCATTGGACGGTGGATCGAAAATTGCCGCCATTTGAGCATAGGCCTGTGACAGCATCGCCCTGTCCTTTGGGGGAACAGCATAGAACGCCGCCAAGGTGTCGTAATTGTCCAGGGTGGTGGGAAGAACTCGCAGCGCTTCTGCATTAGTCCATCCCGCAAGCACACACGAAGCGGCGAAACGGCACTGGAAGGCTGCCCAGTCACCCCCCGCAGCTGCAAACTCCCTCACGACTCACGACTGGCAGCCACTTCTTGAGGAAAGGCACCTCCGGGCAAGATGTTGGCGGCAGGTCGAATTTGGCAGGAAGCGATTCCTGCCCGATCGACAAAATGGCGGTCGCTCGCGCGGGACGGAGCTCCGCCGTTTCTTGCGCTTGGTTGGCGGCGACGGTAAGGCTGTCTGCTCGCTGCCCCCGAACCGCTGCGTCTTCCTCCGGCTCCTCCACCTCCAGCTGCACAACCAGCACTGCCACTGTGGACAGTAGGTCCGCGAGGCATGCGTTGCGTACACGCCGTCCTTCTCTGGACGGCGGTAGCGTAGAGTCGTCGTTCCCCACCCGCTGCTCCACCGGGATCGCCTCTTTGGGACCAGTTAACAGGGTCCCGGATTCCGGGGCTGTCTGGGGAATCACCTACCCGTCGTCTTCTTCATCCGAGGACGCTATGGTAAGAGCTTTCCTCCTCGTTGACTTTGACATTGTAAAGCAAACTTTTATTTCCCTATATTTCTAATGAAGTAAATTTTTTGGTTTAACACTTCTGGCACCAAATGTAGTGAATCACTTCAGAGACACTAATAGTAGGCACTCTCGTTTATTCTAGCCATCACAAGTACAGGGGACAACTATACTATGGTCAGGACAGCTAGCACACTGCCTGACCAACAACGCCGATGAGGTGAAGACGAGAACGGGGATGAAGACTTGGTAGAACGACGGGTTCCATTCCAGACTATAGCCCCGACCCTGAGTCGGGGCCTCCATTTTATCCCCTCCAGCATGGCCTGACTCCGCCCTCAGTCACGCCCCCTTCTGGAACCTACCAGAAGGTTCCCAGCTTCACATCACGTGTCCCCTCCATCACCTTTGTCTTACATCCCTTTCTCCGGCCTATCACATGCCCTGCTGGCAAACCGGACTGCTACACCCTCAGATCCCCCTCTCTGCCAGTAAGCAGCGCTACGTGCCTTAGTGACCCATTCTATGTTACTATACTCGTAAATCGCTCCTAATCTTTTGAGTAATCCATAGTCGACAATAATGTTACATGATTAACAGCATCGCTTTGATCACTTTTTCCTGTCGCTTACAAATAGAGCCAAGCCTATAGCAGTAGTGTGTTCCCGCATGTTGCAAAGGTTCATGGTTCAATTCCAGCGACTGCTCTGGTTAACGATAATATGCGCTGTATGCTTAAGAGTGGATGTTAAAGATCCCCTGACGTCATTCGCACGAGAAGGCCATTGTGCGCCTGTCAGGGTCCAAATTATAAAATTACCTGAAAATACTCTACTTAGCAAACATCATCCTCTAAAGGTAGAACAGAGTCCCAGGTCACCCTTTAAAATTAAATTATCCTTATCTCTTAACTTCTCGCTTGGTTCAACAAAATAAACTCGAAACAAATTCCTACACATGCAAATGTATGTGTACTGATAATTTATAGAATTGAACTCGCACCTGACCGTGTAATTTAGAATCTTTACTCAGAATCCGAATCCTTATTTATCCTGGAGGAGTGTATTGCACTGAATTCCACCAGTAGAGCCAATCACGGTTGCAATGGCAGTTGCATATTTGTCAGTTGCATTGCCTCGCATGTACACACTACATTGTTCAGATTTAAACTGAACGTTGGCTATAACAATATGTCTTCTTGGTTCTTTCGGTAAAGTCACGTAGAAGGGAAGTAATACAATAATAAAAATAAAACATAATAAAACAATTCTCACGACGTTTCGGCCACAACGCAAGCAGCCGTCCTCAGGTGAAAACCAGGTCCGTCGAGGCGACAGAGTCTGAATGAAACAGCACACGAGCTTGGAGCATATATATAAGCTGGGCGCATTGACAAAGGAATTTGCATATCAAAAGGAATTTAGCATATTTATGGGAAATGCAGGAATGTGATTAGTACTGCATATGCATGTGCATTATGCAGGATTAACAGCATCAAAGGGAGCTGCAGTTACTGCTGCTGCAGCAGTTGCTGCTGCTGCTGCAGTTTCTGCTGCTGCTGCAGTTTCTGCTGCTGCTGCAGTTGCTGCTGCTGCTGCACTTGCTGCTGCTGCCTGCTGCTGCTGCACTTGCTGCTGCTGCTGCACTTGCTGCTGCTGCTGCACTTGCTGCTGCTGCTGCTGCAGTTGCTGCCTTATCCATTTTAATATAACACTATGTATTATTCTACCCACCCTAATGTGTATCATACTGCTATATGTTTACTGTACAATTACGACACCATACATTACTCTGCACACTGCACCATGCCAGTGAGTGGAACGCGGTCTGAAAGTCACCGTAAACGTGAACACAATCAGTTAAGATCCGAAATGGTTTATTACGTCCTTCCAATGATTGCTAAGCCAGAATCCATCTTCTCGGTTGAAATTGTCTCTGTGTTTGTATATGTGGATCGCCTCATGAACGAATCTCTCATGATAGCCAGATGGCTTGCAGAGAACCTCTGTCTTGGAGAAGTCAATGTCATGTGAGCCCACTGAATTGTAACAGTGATCTGCCACGGCTGAGGTGTTTGTCCTACCGTGTTTCAGGTCTGCCTTATGTTCACGGATGCGGTCTGAGACATGTCGTTTGGTTTCTCCAATGTAACTGCTACCACAGAGGCAACTTAGTTTGTAGACGCCAGGGTACTGTATGTCTGGAACCACATCTTTTACAGACGGGACCAGATCACGGATTTTATGTACTGTGTTGAATCGGACCTGGATCTTGTGTTTAATCAGGATTTTGGAGATCTTTTTTGTGACCCCAGCAATGTAGGGTAAGGTGATGGTCTTGAAAGGCTCCTCAACAGGATCCTTCTTGATGGTTGGAGTGATGGCTTTGCGGATTGTGTAGTCGGAGTAACCATTAGCCTTAAGAGCTTGGCGTACGTGTTTGAGTTCACTGGAAATGTGTTCATGGTCGGAGATGCATTGGGCTCTATGATATAGAGTCTTGATGAGGGAATTCTTCTGGGATGGATGGTGGTGGGAATCCGGTTTTAGATAAGCATCCGTGTGGGTGGCTTTCCTGTAGACAGAGTGGCTCATTGAACCATCAGGTCTCCTTTTGATTAGGACATCCAAAAAGGGTAGCTTGCCATCATTTTCGACTTCCATGGTGAATCTGATGGCTGGGTGTATGGAATTGATGTGGTCGAGAAATTGGTCTAGAGCAGGCCGGCCATGTGGCCAGATGACAAAATTATAAAATTACCGAACTAGATCAGTTAGACAAGACACTCTACAAATCACACTTATCTTTGAGTGTAACAATGTCCACATCGGATTGGGAACATGTGGAAAAAATGACTGCCTCTTCAGCTGCCGCTATGTCGACTAAATGTAAGGACAACTTGATTTCCAAATTCAACCGCCTCTCAAACAAGAAACCGGACCCACACATTGAAAAGCTAGATGTTAACAAAGTCGTAATTAATCGCAGTAACAGTCCTATTTCTGAAGGTTCGAAATCCGTTTTAGCTAAAGGACTAAACTTTGCAGTCACACCTAGACACATACCAGTTAATGATATAATTGCTCGAGTAGATGTAGCTCTCAAGGGCTTGAGTCACATCGCTGCAGACGTAGCAAGATCTGAAATCTCTGTAACCCTCAAAAACGCTAAGATGCCAGCTAGCAACATCAGCAAAGATGAGCGTTTTGAATTAGCTCAATTAAAAAAGAGGGATGACATTGTCATCCTCTCAGCCGACAAAGGCAATGCCACTGTCATCATGGACAAAATAGAATACAACAACAAAATTCAAGAACTACTCAACGATGGCAGCTATACAAAAATAAAAAGAGACCCCACCAACAGCCTCGTCTCCAAAACCAACAACATCATTTCTGCTTCAACCGCATTAATTGATCAGACCAAACAGTTCTCGTTGAAACCTTCTGCAGCCAGGCCACCAAGATTGTACGGCTTGCCAAAGATACATAAAGAAGATACACCTCTTCGTCCCATTGTCTCTACTATCAACTCCCCCACTTACAAACTGGCTCGTTTTTTGTCCGAAATCCTACGGCCTTTCACTGGAAAAACCACCTCTGCAGTACTAAACTCTACTGACCTGGTATCGACAATCAAGGGGATTGCCCTGTCCCCAGACGACCTGCTTGTCAGTTTTGATGTGGTTTCCTTGTTCACCAAGGTGCCTGTGCCTGACACCATCGCAATCATTGAAGACTTGGTTCATCAAGGACTGAATGCTGGGGTACCCCCCCTGGTGAGACACTGCTTAACCAATACATACTTCACCTGGAATGGAACCTTCTACAAGCAAATTGAGGGCACCCCAATGGGCTCCCCCCTATCTCCGGTTGTAGCCAACATCTTCATGGAGAAATTTGAGACGGACGCCATCCAGACTGCCACTCTACGCCCGACCTTATGGAAGAGGTACAGTAGACGACACTTTTGTCATCTGGCCACATGGCCGGCCTGCTCTAGACCAATTTCTCGACCACATCAATTCCATACACCCAGCCATCAGATTCACCATGGAAGTCGAAAATGATGGCAAGCTACCCTTTTTGGATGTCCTAATCAAAAGGAGACCTGATGGTTCAATGAGCCACTCTGTCTACAGGAAAGCCACCCACACGGATGCTTATCTAAAACCGGATTCCCACCACCATCCATCCCAGAAGAATTCCCTCATCAAGACTCTATATCATAGAGCCCAATGCATCTCCGACCATGAACACATTTCCAGTGAACTCAAACACGTACGCCAAGCTCTTAAGGCTAATGGTTACTCCGACTACACAATCCGCAAAGCCATCACTCCAACCATCAAGAAGGATCCTGTTGAGGAGCCTTTCAAGACCATCACCTTACCCTACATTGCTGGGGTCACAAAAAAGATCTCCAAAATCCTGATTAAACACAAGATCCAGGTCCGATTCAACACAGTACATAAAATCCGTGATCTGGTCCCGTCTGTAAAAGATGTGGTTCCAGACATACAGTACCCTGGCGTCTACAAACTAAGTTGCCTCTGTGGTAGCAGTTACATTGGAGAAACCAAACGACATGTCTCAGACCGCATCCGTGAACATAAGGCAGACCTGAAACACGGTAGGACAAACACCTCAGCCGTGGCAGATCACTGTTACAATTCAGTGGGCTCACATGACATTGACTTCTCCAAGACAGAGGTTCTCTGCAAGCCATCTGGCTATCATGAGAGATTCGTTCATGAGGAGATCCACATATACAAACACAGAGACAATTTCAACCGAGAAGATGGATTCTGGCTTAGCAATCATTGGAAGGACGTAATAAACCATTTCGGATCTTAACTGATTGTGTTCACGTTTACGGTGACTTTCAGACCGCGTTCCACTCACTGGCATGGTGCAGTGTGCAGAGTAATGTATGGTGTCGTAATTGTACAGTAAACATATAGCAGTATGATACACATTAGGGTGGGTAGAATAATACATAGTGTTATATTAAAATGGATAAGGCAGCAACTGCAGCAGCAGCAGCAAGTGCAGCAGCAGCAAGTGCAGCAGCAGCAGCAAGTGCAGCAGCAGCAGCAAGTGCAGCGCAGCAGCAGCAGCAGCAGCAAGTGCAGCAGCAGCAGCAAGTGCGGCAGCAGCAGCAAGTGCAGCAGCAGCAGCAAGTGCAGCAGCAGCAGCAACTGCAGCAGCAGCAGCAACTGCAGCAGCAGCAGCAACTGCTGCAGCAGCAGTAACTGCAGCTCCCTTTGATGATGTTAATCCTGCATAATGCACATGCATATGCAGTACTAATCACATTCCTGCATTTCCCATAAATATGCTAAATTCCTTTTGATACGCAAATTCCTTTGTCAATGCGCCCAGCTTATATATATGCTCCAAGCTCGTGTGCTGTTTCATTCAGACTCTGTCGCCTCGACGGACCTGGTTTTCACCTGAGGACGGCTGCTTGCGTTGTGGCCGAAACGTCGTGAGAATTGTTTTATTATGTTTTATTTTTATTATTTTATTACTTCCCTTCTACGTGACTTTACCGAAATAACCAAGAAGATGAATCCCTGCAGTCACGAAAGCTTTAAATCGAAATATAACAATATGTTTTACCATTTCTGGAAAAATAACAGGTGCTAAGATGTTTAAACACAAAATTGAAACCTTTTGCAAGGAATCATGTCTGCATCCTGGCAAGGGGCTTTCCAATGATGAACGTTGGTTGCTTGCTCATCTTGCGCACGTATATAACTTTATCCAGGAGGGGGCACTGTGCATCTCACTTTCTCTGCTTGCGTGGGGAGATGTCATTGGGAGCAGTTCGCGCTACGCTGCTCTACGAACCCAGCCGCCCGAGTTCCATTCCGCTCACGGCCAAGACCAGTGACGATGATCTGAACCGTTCTTGGGCCTCCAACTGAAAGGTCGACTCAGCGTTAAAATAAGTACCTGGTCTGATATGTCAACATCGGATGTGGCGCTAACCAGCACCCCCCTCGTGTGCCACAAGTGCCGGCCTTCACAGGTGCTCGCTAACAGCACTTGCCCCAACAGTCTGTTAAAGGCTACACGGGGGATCTTTGCCCTGGTTTGGAGAGGGTGATCGCTCGTGTTGTTGGAAATAAGCTGAGGGTAAGAATATGATTCGGTGCTAACGGTTAGTTTGGTGGACCACCATGCAAATATGCATGTATGTTGAACTTATTTCGCATCGTACGAAGCCAACCGTGATAATCTGATGTGTTATAACGTCAGTAAACCAATGCCAGCAAATGAGCACATTCAGTCAATCGCCAACTTGTGTGTACGAGTCGCAATACAATCGAAATAGTTGTACAATGGGCAGTAAAATAAAATACGGTGCTTTGTGAAGAAGAAAAAAAATCGAGCAGTTCCGTGGACCACTTCCCACAGCCTTTTCGGACCACAGGGTGGGAACCATGAATGTAGGGCATAACGAATAGGGTTAACCGGAGGCTTTGGGTTGAGGTGAGGAGTCGGGTATGAATAGGGTTTTAACATGGGTTTATATGAGGGTGAGCACAGGGTTACGGCTTGGGTTGGGTTAAGATTCCAGGCCAGGTGCACTTTGAAGCCACGTGTCGAAGGCTCGCTGGCAAGAGGTCACGGGACAGACCCAGGTGCCGTGGGTTGACTGAGGTCATATGATACCTGACCTCGCACACACCTGACCTCGCAAGAGTGCAGAAGCGTGATCACCACATCTGCGCCTCTATATAAGGAACGAAAGAGTTAGACTTCACAAATCTGGCTGTCGCCTGATGAAGCTAGTTGTAATTACTGGCGAAACTTCGTACTCAGATTGTAAATGTTGTGGCTTGGCTCTCTAACAAACCGGTGTGCTGTACTAGTGACGAATTGGCATGTTCTGTTTACGTGACAACCCTTACTAGTTGGCTGTCGGGTGGTGGCGGGCTTAACGGCACAATTATATATTTACGCAATCTAACCCAAAAAAACAACCTCTATTATGGATGATATTGATCGCGAAAGCCTACCACGTGTTAAACTGACACCAGCACTGATCCCATTATTCCCCCCCCCCATCCCCCGTGTTGTCTCGTCGTCTCATCCCCTGGCTTCAGGTGCGCGCTTGGTTCTACGGAGGAAGTTCTCCGCGAGCCACTTTTGGGGAGACTGCCGCCGGCACGGCGTCACCGTATTTCAGTACGTCGGCGAGATCTGCCGCTACCTCCTCAGCCAGCCCAAGGTGCCAAGTGCTGCCTCGTTACCGATCAATGCGCGTTTATATTTGGATCAAGCAATTGCGGGTGATGGGCTCTCAAAATGAGAACCATGTACGTGGACATGTACGGCCCTTTTTGTCAAGGCACTGCTGCATGAGGAGTGCTTCTCAATGGCATGGGGGTCATGGGGGGGTTGAACATACTTCAGTGAATTCAGTTCAGAAATTCAGTGAAGAAGCTCCTAGGCACGCAGAGCAAAATGTCAGACATAATGCCCAATGACACACGATAACAACACCGACAACACGTCGGAGCAATAGACAGTACAGCATAAGTGCCAAAACACCTACTCAGTGATAGTACACCACCTTATACATTTTCTGCATTGTCAGTGATGGCACACACACTATCATGTCCTCTCCATAGATGCTACGAAAACGAAATTTCGCTCAAGGAACATTCTTTTCCCCACCCTCCCTGCCTCCCTCGCGTGCCGTGTCAAGAACGAGCTGGACCGCGTGCACTCGGTACGCATGGCCGTGGGGAACGGAATGCGAGCAGACGTGTGGGCGCGTTTTCTTGAGCGGCACGGGGACGTGAGATTCTGCGAGCTCTACGGCGCCACCGAGGGCAACGTGGGCTTTGTCAACGTGGATGGAAAGCTCGGGGCCTGCGGCCGGGACCTGCCCTTCCTGCGTGTGCGTCGTAATTTCTCAGCCGTTGTTATTATTGTTGTCATTCCGCTGTCAAATCCTGGCTTCTTGCCACACCTCCTTCTTCGCAGACTGCCTGGACCAAGGTTAGCTTAGGGAGTGTGCCTCTATTTTGGGTGTGCTGTCTTGGGACGATGTTAACAAAAACTCAACACGTTCGTCAACAACACTATGACCTTATTAAGGAAAATAGTAGAAATGTGTGATGTGTAGGGCAATGGCCCTTCTTTATAGCACAAATATTTAATATATTTAAATTTTAAGGCAGCGTTATTAAGAAACGTGTTGAGTTTGGGTTACTTGTGCCAACACAGTATCGTAAATAATATTTTTTCCTGGTTAATATCGACCCATAACACTCTTGATCACCATGAGAGGTGAAAATGCTGCTTTAGCTGTTGCTGAGCATTTAGACCTTGTTGAGTGGGGCCCTCCAGGGTTTGTTAAAATTGGGTTCATCATGAGCAACGGTCGATAGGTAAGCCCTGGCCAAATCCACAGGCATCTTACACAGATGGACTTTGGCACGTTGAATATTGTATGATTAAGAATGCAAATGAATACATACCACAAGGTAAGCAAGACATGAACTGCAAATCAAGAAGAAATACACTACAAAGTATAATTTGCAGAAAATTAACTATCATAATCGTAAGGCAGCAAACAAAGTAGTTTAAATCTACAGTGTCTTAAAATTCACAAAAATGTAAGTCTCCTGATTGAAATTAAAGATAGACCTAAAAAATATTTGTAAGACAGTCTTTGCCCCAGCAGTCAAAGGTAACAACTGTAGTGTTGTGGATTCAGGAGACGCCAGAGACGGTTCTTGGAGGCAACAGTATTTATTAAACCACCTCGCTCGGCAGTACAGTCCCAGAACACTCAGGGTTACTGTCCTCCTGTACCACTGTCTGGGGAGGTACTGCGTCCGAGCTAACATGCCCTAACACAGGACCACACTCAGGGTCCTCCGGCTCTGGGTGCGTAGGGGGAGGCTATTCTAACTCGCCATAGCCAGGGTGCGAGTACCGACCACTGACCCACTGGATCCGGCCCTTACAAGGACGTCGGGCCAGGGGTTCCCAGGGTCTCACCACTGAGCCGCACAGAGTCCCGGCCCTGATAAGGACCGCGGCCCTATTGGGCTGGTACTGCAGCCCCTCCCTTGGCGGTATGAGGTACCGCCTGCAGATGGGCCCCGTCTACCACTACCGGTAAGTGCGGCCCATCTACGGCACTACGTAACTATACCTTGTGCGGGAGGACTACAAGGGAAAGATGAGTGACCTTGAAACTGTTCGTGTGGCTTTACTTCGTTTCAGCTCCTCATAAAGTATGTTCTTGTTAAGTATGACCATGAAAAGGATGGACCAGTGCGTGATGACAAGGGCTTCTGCATCCCCTTACCCAGAGGTGAGGGTGCCAGACACTGACGACCATAGCTCAATAACAAGGCAGACACACCAAGAGGAGATTCAAAAATATTATTTTCATTCATAGCTGCTCCCGAACAGTACTTGCCCTATGTTTGTTAAAGCTTATATGTGGGATCTTTGTATTTGTCGGCATGTGGGTTAATGGAGCAGGACAGCCAGGTCTCCTGGTGGCCCCGATCTCGAAGCACATGCCATTCGATGGTTACTTGGGGAACGCCGAGTTCACGCAGAGGAAGATTCTGCACAACGTTTGCATGCATGGGGACCGCTACTTCAACTCGGGAGACATCATGCGCATCGACGAAGAAGGCTTCATCTACTTCATCGACAGGGTTGGGGATACTTTCAGGTGATTATCGCTCTCATTTTCATTATCTCTGTCTTCAGTTCAACGCTTAAGAGACAGGTCCATAGTTCACGCTCCTGATGTCTCATCTACCTTCTGCTTCCCCTCTGTCCCTGCTTTGGATGATCCCAGAAAGAAGAGTAGAGGTGATTTCCCCTGGTCTTCCTCGATTGTGTTCTATTAGATTATCTCCAGATAAATTATAATGCTGTACCTAGGACACTCATCAATCATCAGCATCTGGAATTATCATCATCAGCATCATCATATTACAGTTGTGGTTTTTAGTTTCCTCCCAAATGGAAGTCGTGTATTCCTACTTTTGGTTATGGTATGCAGGTGTAGTTATTTTGGCAATGTCAGCTCAGTGATCAGAGCTAGGCCATTGCGAGCGACCTCGGCTACACCCGACTGGCTTGAACTCGTGTGGATTCCTTGTTTCTGTCCATAAGGTGGAAAGGTGAGAACGTCTCGACCATGGAGGTGGCAGACACTCTGAGTGACCTGGACTTCATCAAGGAAGTCACAGTGTATGGTGTCACCATCCCAAGTTGGTGGCGCAGCTAATGATCGACTTTAAAACAAAACTTCAATGGAAAGCAGATTGATGAATGATTTAGTACCTTCTCACTACTCTTCTATCGCTACTACTATGGTTTCTGCCCCCGTGAACTTCACTCAGTGATTCCTCCTGCTCCCATGTTGGGGACTCAATCTTCCAGACTAATTAATACCTCAGTGGGCTTCGCCTGGTAGGGTGGGGATGGTTTCGTTTTATTTGTATGTTTTTGGCTGATTTCTTTACCTTTTTTGTACTTTGTACTGCTATCGTGTTTTTGTATCGATTGTTGTTGTATCGTTCTTACCTGCCCCTATTGGACATCTGTGAAAGATAACTGTATAGCTCGTAGAATTCCTCCAGTATAAATAAATATTCCTATTCAGACTACTCTTGTCTCATCCACACCACACTGCAGTTTAAAGTACCTCTGTCTTCTTATTCCCTCGCAACTGCTCAACTTTGGAACGTCCTTCCATTTGCCAAGTTCTTATAACTTTGCTCAATTCAAGAGATGTATTAACGATGACCTATCTACTTTCAATAATGCGGGGTGGGGTGTTGCTGGCCGCTTTGCATGTTGGGCCTCTGGGCTTTTCCTCGGCAATCATATATCACGAGCTTAATCAACGTTGATCTAATTTTTTCCCCTAGTTATTGAAGTAAAACATGTATCGGATCGCCCTCACCAAATGAACAATATGTTCACATTATATATAAGTGGTCATCAATCATTATGTCGTCAATATAATATTCATGGGAGTAACCACATGCTAAGAAACGTTTTATAGGCACTGAATAAATTTATATTATTTTCTATTTTGTGATGTTATGAATCTTTGTCTTCACTCGTTGTTCTTGTTGATAATGAACGTAGTTAAACAAGTTATAAAAAGTAACACTTAAGCATAGAGGATTCTTACACCAATGTGTGTAATTATCAGTACAGAAATTGATGGGTATCCTTTAGGGCAAACGTTTTGAGCAATTCTTTTATCAGTTTATCTTGTTTTCAATAAGGCAAGTCCAAAATAGCAAGACAACTTTATACTACCGGTCCATATATATTGGATCATCTTTACGAGAGTTGTAGTTCTGGACGGACAGAGCGAACGCATAAACGCTTTGAACATTAGTTTGAAACCATAAAAATATCACTATTAACCACCACCACTGCTGGTGGCTGCGTTTTTTGTTCTCAGATAACGAGGGCCGGGCCGGCATGGCAGCTGTGATCCTCGAGGAGGGCCACTCGCTCGACGGCCCGGAGCTGTACCGCCACGTTGTAGGACACTTGCCAACCTACGCCCGCCCTTACTTCATCCGCTTGCAGGTAGAGGTTGTCCGCCATGGAGCCTACAGAGTGGCGTCGCCGGACTGTGAGATATGAAGAGGCCTTAATCCAGTAGTTTGATTATGGCTGATCGTGATGGATGGGTGGATGAAGGGCTCAGGTCGATCCCCAACAGAGCTTTGAACTTAAAATCTTTTGATTGCAAGGCTTGCACTCAACCACTGTGCTACCACTGAGTTTTACAGTGTTTGATTTTTTTTCCTTCCCCCACATCTCTCCGATTAGCACGGTTGACTACGTATGGTGCAAAAGAAGTACATACAAGCTCACCCTGCCATAGGAATGTAGACTTTCCACCACTTGCTAAGGGCTACATACTCCTGATGATCACTGCCCCATGGTTACTTGAGTAGAAAAACTCTGGCATTTGGAGTTATTTTCAGATCATGGCAATGTTGTAAATAATATTTGCTGTACATGCTCAAAATGCTAACATCATTACATAAACATATGGGCATTTGATACAATCTATACCAAAGAACAGCAGGCATCCTTTAGTTTGTTTACACATTTTTATTTTCATTTCAAAATCACACTCAGAATATTTATTTATTATATTGGAGGAAAACGATGCGCTACAAAACTCATTTTGACAGATGTCTAGCAGGGGCAGGTTTTATCTGTGATTATTTTGTTTACTCGTAGTGTGTTTTCCTAATTATTTTACCATTCCGGATGTCACACCCTGAACCCCTTGTCACACAGGAAGCATTGGAGTTGACGAGCACATTCAAGCAGATCAAGACGCACCTCTTGCAGGAGGGCTTCAACCCGGCGCTCACCCCTGCGCCCTTGTTTTACCTGGACAATGCAGCGTGCAGCTACACGCCGCTAACTCAACAAATCTACGAGGGCATCGTCAGCGGCAAAGTGAAGCTCTGAGTGACGAGCGTGAGGGTTTTGAGCCAAATCATTCCTCAGAGGGATCAGAATCAGAATCTGTATTCATCCTGGAGGAATCCGATGTGCTATGAAGCTCTTTTTTCACAGATGTCCAGTTGGGTCAGGTTAGTCAGAAAGTTAGGTGGAACCATGGTGCTGAAGTTATGCCTATTTTTTACAATAAGAGGCGGATATCTGACACCAGTTGGGATTTGTATTAATCCAGCCCAATTCCTGAGCCACCGAGCCAACTCAGTTTTTTTAGTCTTTTGTGTCATACAAAAGCAGAGTTATGAGCGAACACCTACACATAATATGTCAAATATTTATACTGCCATTTGCTGGCAACACGTGATGATCTTCACGCAGTCTGCATGTGCCAATGGTGGTCAGCGTGCTATGCTATGATCTCGGCGACCCGAATTCAATTCCTGGTCACGGCCAACGTTTGTGGCGGGCGGTATTCTCCACCATTCTCTAACCTGCACTGCCCATAATGCTGAATTATGGTCAAACAACCCCTGTCACCAATATTGAATTGGGAGGTTTTCATTCAGCAGATGCTCGTTAAATGGCTGTAACTTACAATTGAGCAATCTCATAGTGCTGTTGGTGATTACGGTCATGGCGCTTAGGGATATTCGAGATATTTTGTGCAATGCCACCTCAGCAGTTGCCTTTATGTGCAAACGGAATTCAAATTGTATGGCTTGAATCCACTTCTCCCAAAACTAAGTGGTGAGAGGGGTACCGCGGTGTAGAAATGTTATCTCCCTTGCTGGGTATGCAAGCGGTCGTGGGTTTGATCCCAACCCTGACGCCTGCTGTATATTTGGAGTTTGCGTGTCTCTCTCCCTGTGGTTTCCCCTCAACTTTAAAAACATTTGTTTCGTTTATTTATCTGCTATAAATTGTCACATGATAAGCACTTCGTTGCGCTATTATTTGTGACCAGGTTGCTTCTGAAAAAGAGCTAATAGCCAGAGGTGGGACAAAGTCATTGTTATGCAAGTCCAAGTCGAGTCTGAAGTCATCAAATTTATGACTCGAGTCTGACTCGAGTCCAAGTCACATGACTCGAGTCCACACCTCAGAGGTGGGACAAAGTCATTGTTATGCAAGTCCAAGTCGAGTCTGAAGTCATCAAATTTATGACTCGAGTCTGACTCGAGTCCAAGTCACATGACTCGAGTCCACATCTCAGAGGTGGGACAAAGTCATTGTTATGCAAGTCCAAGTCGAGTCTGAAGTCATCAAATTCATGACTCGAGTCTGACTCGAGTCCAAGTCACATGACTCGAGTCCACACCTCTGCTAATAGCTGATCGGGCTTGACCTGATAAATAAAAGTTTATAGCTTTACATATTATAACTGTTCAATAACTAAAGACTTTTCACCATAGGTGGTACCAATTTCTCCTCTGACCCATGGAATACAGACCAATGGGCATGAGGTTTTAAAGCATGTCCAGGCAGTGATAGTATACAGTACATTCCCAAATTATGATATTTTATAACGAAATCACTTTACCTTTATTCCCCCAATGACAAATGTGTATTTCAAGTTTAAAAACTATGTATCAGATAAAATGACATTAAAATTGTTTATGAAAGAACATCTATCCATATGCCCCCATCATTTAGTACCCACAACTTGAATTACATCGCCTCCAAATTAAATGTTGAAAATATCAATGGAGGCAGATCTAGAAACTTCTAGGAGGCGGGGGGGGGGGGTGATCATAAAATCTCAAACTTTTTCAATCAGGCCCTCAAGTAAATACAACATTATTTGGTGAATATCAGGGAGATTTCCACCATCTGGCACGAGAGAGCTCTTAACTTCTGGCCAGTGCCATGACCTCTAGACACTCTTGACTTGACTCTGGTGGTCAAGGGCAGTCTCTTCCTCTCTGCCCACAATGCAGGTCTCCATTCCGCTCGTGTCGTCCTTGGCTGCTGAGCCCTGCAGCAGGTCTGTAGCAGCCTGCGACACGAGCCGCCAGTCCCGTAGCACATCCGCCTCTGTGGTGAACTGAGACGTGATGACGAAGCGGATGATGAACTTCTCCCCGGCCATGGCTGGCGCCACAAACAGCTGCTGTGACTCATTGAGTCGCCTGAGAAGTGTCTTTGTCAGTTCGTTTGGGCCCTGCAAGGAGAACAGGCTCAATATAATAAGGTGCTTGAATAAAGCAATGTCTATTTTATTGCAGCCGTTAAACCTTTTTACCTCTCAACAGGTTAACAGCGATGAAAAATAAGAATAGGTTTTACCCTTTCTGGCAATAAAACCTATTATTATTTTTCATACTTTGATATTGGCAAAATGGTCCCATAGATATGGTCACATCTTTCCTAGCCTGCAGCCATCTACATCGGTTGGTTGTCATCCACCGTGTTAGTCTACCACTCCACCAATCGAAGGGTTCTGTGTATGAGCTTAACGGTCTTGCAGTCCACAACTGAAAGTAAGAGGGTTTAACTGGATAAGAAGACTCAAAGAGTGATATAAAGCCACAGGCTAGGTAACTAATTATATTCTCCTAGCCTTTTGCCCGGCAAGGACGGGTGTATTTCAGTAAATCTGAAACTTGCAAGCGAAAAGCAGGCCGCGACGTGATTGCATCAATTCGTGTGAAATTTGTAAGGCCGTGGTGACACAGACCTATTTCATTTTAAGGTTATAATCCGTTGTTCACCATGACGTCCTTTTTACATCTATGTCTCAATAGCGTGACGTGAGGGTTCTGCCTTTGTAGTGAGGGTTGTAAGTTGACGCTGAGGAGGGGGGAGGAGGCGCCTCGCCCCCCCATGTGGAGTGACGTCACCCACTAATTATTATTAATGGCGGGGGTGGTGTCCATTTGGAAGACGTTACCTGTTTATGATTATTAATGAGGGGGGCTGGCCGACATGGAGTGACGTCACGCGCAGGACACGCAGACATTCTTGGCTCATTATAGTAGTAAATTATATTTAAGATTTATATAGGGCCCTTTCCAGGGCCCTCTACAATGCAAGCTAACGGCGGTACACAAAGGGGCAAAAGGGGAGCAACGGGTGGAGTGGAGCAGCTGTCAGTGAGGGGGGTAATGGAGGGATAGAGGGACAGGGGCTGGGAATGGAGCATGATGTTGCAGGGGTAGGGAAGGAGTAATAATGTGGAGTGTGATGGTGAATGAGGGTGACAGATGGGTGCAACGTGCATAAGAGGCAGCTAGTTATGGGGCACTTGGGTGAAGTGGTAAGATAGGTGGTATGGCTGGACATGGACGAGGGTAGGTGAAGGGTAGTAGGGGCAGAGGTCTGGTGGCCGGATTGTTGAGCTGATTGAGGAGCAGAGTGGATGACTGGGGGAGAGATGTGGTTAGGTGCACATAGAGAAAATTACACGTGGGAGCTGGGTCAGGAATTAGTGTCGTAGTAGGAAGTGGACCGGGAGTGGGTTAGAAGTGGGGGAAGGAACCGGTAGGGGTGGAGGCAGTGGAAGTGAATAAGCGATAGAAAAAAGAAAGGACCTGAGGGCAGAGCAAAAGGAGGAAAGCGAGGGGGAGAGTCTAACGTGGAGGCCAGTAATTAAAAGCGTTCCATTGCATCTGCAATGTCATGAGGAAAAGCTGTAAAATCTCACCTGGAGACGAAACACAACGAGTCCCAAGTTGCTCTTCGCTGGAATTTCGAAGTGGGGGTCTTCCCTGACGAGGCTTTCAAAATACCTTGCAAGTTTATTGGTCTGTAGAAAAACATACAACATTGATATACCCCTTCCACAATTAGTATCAGTAAATATGATCATTGGTTTCAACCATCCTGAGTGTCAGTGACTAAGAGCGCGTGTCACACGAGGCCCTCACCCTGCGCACGTGCTCCTGCAGGCCGTCCAGCCCGAACGAGCGAATCACAAACCACAGCTTGAGCGAGCGGAAACGCACAGTCAGGGGGATCTGCCAGTGCTGCACGAAAACACCACTCCGATCATTAACACAAATTTCACAGCACAATTATGTACTGTACTTGGCATGAGGACAGTTGCTGAATCATGGTGGGTGAAAATATGAGCCCGCCACAAATAATAGTGCTCATTAGCTCCCTTGACTACTTGATATGGGCCCCCATGTCCAACTCCCGTCCCTCCCAACTTCCACAATGCTCCCACATATCTAAGCAAAATTATAATGGCGTGAGTGTCACTGGTTACAGAAAAAATGACATTCTATCTGTGTTTTCTTACAGAATGCAGAGAAACATGTTCAATACAATGGAACCGCTGTTAAATACATCAGAATAGACTTTCATATTAAGGTCAATTGCTGAGCTAAACTATGGTTTTTTAAAGAGAACAAGTTTAACTAATTTTATTGACATCTTGACAAGATGGTGCTTTCTGATGTTATCTGCTGTGTTCTCAGAGCAAATATACCCACATAAAATGTTCGGGTGTGTTTGTGAAATGATTTAAGATTGTATAAAGACGATCAAACTCTTTGCACCAAGAATATCAGAGCTGTTGGCTTGGTACGCCTAGACATAATGTAATAGAGCATAAACTGTTCTTAGGTTTTTTCGGTAAAGTCACGTAGGTAAAAAATAAAATAAAAAATTGGTCTCTATGGTCAAGGTCATGGTACTATCTCTTGATGATATCCTCATCAGTTTGGATGTAGTATCTCTGTTTACCAAAGCCCCAGTGCCTGATACCCTAACAATAATTGAGGACTTGGTCCAACATGGATTGAATTCGGATGTACCTGCGCTGGTTAGGCATTGCCTCACCAACACTTATTTTACCTGGAATGGCACCTTCTACAAACAGAATGAGGGTACCCTTATGGGCTCCCCCTTGTCACCAGTGATAGCCAACATGTTCATGGAAAAGTTTGAATCGGACGCCATCCAGACATCCACCCTGCGTCCTTCCCTGTGGAAGAGGTATGTGGATGACACTTTCGTCATTTGGCCACATGGCCTCCCAGCATTGAACCACTTCTTGGACCACATCAATTCCAGACACCCATCCATCAGATTTACCATGGAAGTGGAGAAAGATGGTAAACTACCATTGTTAGATATTCTGTTTGAGAGGAGACCTGACAGATCCTTGGAACATTCTGTCTACAGGAAAGCCACCCACACAGATTCCTACTTGAAACCTGATTCCCACCACCACCCATCTCAAAATAATTATCTCATCAAAACGCTATACCACAGAGCTCATGGAATTTCTGACCAACACCACCTGGCCAGTGAATTAAGACATGTACATCGGGCCCTCAGGATGAACGGATACTCAGACCGCACCATCCGCCAAGCTGTTTCTCCCACCATACAGAAACAGCCACTTGAAACTCCGATCAAAACTATCACATTGTCATACATAGCAGGCGTGACCAAAAAGATCTCCAAAATTCTAAACAAACATAAGATCCAAGTCCGATTCAGTACAGTACATAAAATTCGTGATCTAATTCCATCTGTGAAGGATGTCATCCCTGACTTGCAATACCCTGGAGTCTATAAACTGAGTTGCAGCTGTGGTGATTGTTACATTGGGGAAACGAAACGTCATGTCTCCGATCGTGTCCGCGAGCACAAGTCAGATCTGAAACACGGCAAAATTGAGTCTTCCGCCGTTGCCGATCATTGCTACAACGCGGTGGCCTCTCATGATATTGTTTTTTTCGAGACCAAGGCGCTCTGCAAACCCTCTGGCTACCATCAAAGGTTTGTACACAAAACCATCCAGATATACAAACACAGACAATTTCAACCGTGATGATGGGTACAAACTGAGTAATCATTGGAAATATGTTATTAACCATGCAAAAAAGATTTAACAACACATTTTTGGACCATCTTATTTGACAGGTACTATTCTACTTTACCGAGTGTTAACATCCCCAGCGTTGAACAGCACTCTCCTTTTTTGTATTTGGATGGCCACCAACACTGGGTAAAACAACATGTGCATTGTCGTTCTCTTCTAGCATCATGTGCTCCTTTAGCATGTGACCTGTTGTTCTCTATTAGCCCCGCCCCCCCCCCCCCAATACGTTCCATTAATTGGCTACCACACTCAGATAAGCTCCTCCCCCCTCAACTTGTATTCATGAACTTGTATCTTGAAATTTTTGCCACACTTGATACACTAAATCTAGGTGTGACGGTCCCACCTGATGACGGAGACTTGTGTTGCCTCTGAAACGTGATTTATTATTTTATTTCTATTATTACTTTTATTATTTTATTTTTATTTTTTTACCTACATAACTTTACCGAAAAAACTTAAGAGTATGAATCCTTGCAGTCACGAAAGCTTCAAATCTAAAAATAAACCGTTCTCTTCCACGAATGCATGCCATTTTACGAGCAAAGCATGTTAAGTGCAGCAAATTCACCCACCATGAAGTCTGTGACCGAACCGGAGTACTTGTGCTGTAAGTAGTGCGGCTCCACGCAGAACGTGCTCTGCAGACTCCGCTTGTCCGCCACCCTGGCACAGTGAGTCGGGCTCTTAGCGTGCGGTCAAGTGTGGGAGGCTTGCCAATAAGAGGTATGCGATTACGTAGTTGAACTGTGACAGTTGGTTCAAGAGGTGTCACAGTGGGTGGGATCTCTTTCATTCAATGCCCTTGTAGCATTCATGAAACCGATCAGTCGGTTGCCAATGGGGTGGGAATGCTGTCACGGCACTCTTTGGCACTTCACTTCCCAGAAGACAGGATATCGAAGCATATTAAACAGGTATATATGATTGGTTTCCAGGTCATATAAATATCTGACATTGAGAAGTGAAACATAAAATCCAAATAAACAAACTTTAAGAGCTTGTGTTTCGTGTAACAAGGCAAACACGATCTTGTCCAAAAGTATTTTGCACGATTCATGGAGGCCTCACCAAAATACGGCGCAGTCCTGATTCACCAACATCAACTTGCCCATGTTGACCACGAACGAGTCGGCAAACTCGACCCCGCGCAGGGGGTCACGCAGCTCGGGACACAGGAAGGCAGTGCCCGCGTACGCCGCGTCCACGTGCAGCCAGAGCCCCTCCTGGCGGCCTGAGTGGATCGCAAGAAAAGCCAATAATCGTGTTTCTCCCTGATGTTTGGCTCTTGCTTGTAAAAAGGTTTCCTAAACCAGGTCTAAACAAATGAGTTACATACAGTAAGCAAACATTTTGCTCCTGCTTTAAAATCTCATGGGTAAGGACTTAAGTTTATGTGTGTATGTATGTCGAACTTCTTTCGCACCGTACGTAGCCAACCGTGATAATCGGAGGTGAGATTATAATGGTTATGAACTCCGGGTGTTAGGAATAAGAGAAATTCAAAGACCACATCTCACAGATTGGGCCCAGTTCAGCCATGTTGTCAAACGCGCAGACGCCTGTTGTGCCAAGGGTTGCGCACACCTATACACGCACGCACAAGATGCACGGTGGTGAGAGCACGAAAGCATTATACACACGTAGTTATTTTACCAATAGAGCTATCGTCATCTGAGCCATACTGTTCGTGGAAACGATCAAACACATTGAGTAGTTCTGTTGCATATATCCTGTCAGCTTACATGGCTAATTAGCAGGGAAATTACACCCCCATCATGTCTTTTGTTCCATACAAGTGTAATAAAGCACTTTGACGACGATCTGTAGTTCGTATCTTCTTTATTGTGCATTTCTCGTCGGCTGGACAGCTCCGTGTTCTCTTCACACCGACACCGCTCCACTCTTGTTCCGTGCGTTAGATGTTGTCGCTCCGCGCACAGCTCGCTCACACTTCCCCGCTCCTGCCCGCCACGTGGCCGTTGGCGTGCCGGAGGCGCGAGACATGGTCTCGCCTCTAGACTCCACACACTGACCCCGAGCTTCCCCCGCCTATAGCCACGCCCCCTCACGAATCTTCTGGATGGTTACCCACAAGAACCCTTGAGCTCCGCCCTTGAACTTGGCATATCCATCTAATTGGCTGATGGCTGAAGTGGCGGAGCCTATCCCACCGATCGGCGACCGTCGGTGAACTCTCGTATTACACAAGTGACACCAAGTACCACATCTAATTGAACCACACGAAAGCCAAAATTTTAATTAATGTGAAAGTTGTTGCATCCTTGTCATGTTCATATTGTGGCCTGGTTGTGTTGCAAAGCACTTTCTTGCAGCATGACTGAATGAATGGGTTTTCCAGAGCACGTGATATTATCAAGTTTTGTTGATAAATAACAGTTGCTATGTGTGTGAAGCTTAAAAGTTAAGAATCCTTCAAACAGAATCAATACAGGTACTATATGACTCCTGTGAACAAATATTCAAGTATGTGGTACAGAATCTCAATAGAAATACAAACCCCATCATGAGTAATTCAGTAACTTCTAGGCAGTCAAATACAGTACTGTACAGCAAGTAGGTTTCTGACGTGTGGAATTTTAGTGTTTTGCCTTGCATGTATAGGCTCTTAGATGTTCCAGTATCCTATAAACATCTGAACATTCTCTAAAAACAAATTGTCTAAATGGCCCCAGACACTCAGTGATGGGGTTTTTTCTGGGTAATCCAATCAAGTACAGTACTGTAATAATAGATGTTTGTGAACATTGCATCGATAAACAAATTCACGCTTGGAGTTAAGTAACTCACGAAGAACGGGACAAGTCCCTGTGCTCGGTCCTCCTCCACGGCGCGTCGGAGCGTCTCCCCGCGCAGCGAGAACTCCAAGTCCGTGGGCAGCGAGCGCAGCCTCACCAGCGACACGAGGCTCGCCTTCAGCACTGACGAGTGAGCCTGGCGGGAGTCAGAATTCACCTTCATTCGTACTCTTTAATTATGTATGGATGTTGAACATCTTTCGCACAGTCCGTAGCCAAACGTGCTAATCGGAGGTGTGATTAGGTTTAAGTTTAGAGAAGGAAAAGTTACGAAAATAAGTAGAAGCAGGTAGCATTTTCCACACGCTCTGATTGAAGCATCATTCATCAAAAGCGTACGATAATGCTTAATATTCTTCTACTAGGTTGTTAGGGGGCACCTAAGGCGCCCCCCAACAACATAGTATGTGGTTGTGCGAGAGCGCATGCGCGCCCCCGCACAACCACAGCCTGCGGCACCCCCCAACAGACTGGTCAAATGAATCCTTACGATCCACCCACACAGCGTGCGGTGGGCCTTCATCCAGCAGTGGATTTAAACCAAAAAAACTCGAATACTAATGTAATGGACAGAGCACGGCTCTCCCTCGGGGCAGCAACGGAGCGAGCACGGCTCTGCCTCAGAGCAGCAGTGGAGAGAGTGCGTCTGGCTCCCTCACGGCAGCAGTGGAGACAGCGTGGCTCTCCCTATAGCCAGCAGTGGAGAGCACGGGGGTCCGTCAGGGCAGCAGTGGATGGAACATGGCTCTGCCTCACTCTGACTCACCCATCTCCTCTGAGCTGCATGCGATTGTGTGTGTGTGAGTGAGCTGTGTGTATGAGTGAGCCGATCGACCGTCAGCTTTCCGTGGCTGCATCTCCGGCGCTGTGGCCGTCATGTTGCTGCTTCTCGGGCCTCTGAGGTGCGGGGTGCACCACATACGGAAGTGGACAGCTCGCGGTCACGTGACGCACTTCAAACAAATCTGGGAGCATACATATTTGAGAGGGGCGTACCTCTGGTTAGCTGCTAGCTCGCAGTCACGTGACGCACTTCAACCAATCCGGGGGCATTAATCACAGTCACAGAAGGACAGATTTGGGCTATTATATATGTGAATTAAAATGAAAATTTGTGTGGGGGGGGGGAGGGAATAAATCATTTTTTAAACTTAAGGTGGGCACGGGCATTAGAGAGTGTAGACTGGCACACCTGGTCTGAGGTGTACCCCACAAGTCGTGAGTTGAGGAGTGCGTCATTGCCGATGTCCTGGCTCACATCCCCGCGTAACTGTGTAAGAGCGCGTGTCCGTGCCGCCAGGAGGGCCAGCATGGTGGATTCGCTCACTGAGCTCTGTTCGACAAATACGCAAGTACACACGCACATACATTTTTGGGATGAGTGCAACAAACTGATACATTAATAATTATAATTGATCAAAAGTTTAAAAAAAATGGTCCACTGACCTTGGAGGCGACTGTGCTACACATGCAGGCCATGCAAGCACCCTGATGAACAAATGTGGCAGTAGGTCACTATTACATTGCGGTTAATATGACAATTGCTATCACTCCTTTATCTCAACTGGCCCCTTCTAGCATTCAAATCTCTTCTTAAACACATCACTTCCAACTTGTATTTCCCACAGCGCCATCCTATCAATTATCCTGTCTGTCTTGATTTGAAGCTTTCGTGACTGCAGGTATCCATACTTTTTCCATACTCTTTTGAGTATGGTCTCCTGTCTCCACTCTCCACCCCTTAAATGTTTGCTTCTAATCTTTCTTGCCTATTCTGTTAATCTGTTTATTGTTTTAGATGTATTTAGATTTTAAATGTACTGCTTTGTAAACCAAAGTGTTGCAAATATGATAATGATATAGATGAATGACCTGTATGACTCCACCTCCACATCCATCTGGGTGATCATGTCGAAAGGTGTCAGGGAGGGACAGCATGTTCACCAGCCAGTCCGTCATCACTATCTGCAGCTCCGTGGAGGCCGGGTTAGATGCCTGGTCCAGATCACGCATCAACAGTTACAAAACACAAACGGTCCGCTTATTACCATAGTTTTAATAATAGTGTTGGAGCTGCTCAATAACCAATAAAACAAGGAATTTTACTTGAATCAAATAACCTACCTACAGTCTCAGCTTGCAAATAAATTGTATATTGAATTTGTAAAAAAAAAATGTTTCTTGCACGTGTTTTTTTATTCTGTAAATAAAAAAATCTGAATATTTTTTGGGCCAAATTAAGTCTTACCAAATTAAGTCTGGCCATGTTTAACATTCGTGGCAAGCAATATCTGATCTTCCCTGGACCCCCCTATTCACTGAATATATATTTTTTACTTACATATCTTAAAATATATCCATTAACACGTTTTCTTCAACATTACGCGATTTTATATAAATGTAAATACTTAATTTGCTGTAATGATTGTGTAATAAACTATTAAAATTATTTAGCAAATGTTTTCAAACTTTAGTTAAATTTGTACATTTGTATTGTTACCCTTGCTTCTTGTTTTCTCAAAACGTTTCCAAATGTCTTCATTTAACTAAGATGCATATCTAAAAGAGTTCCCGCATGTTTTTTGATGGTTGTCCATCGATCTGTTTTATATGTACTGTCACTCATTGTGTATGCACCGAGCCTGGCACAAGCGCTGTGTGGTGACATCACCGCCACTTAGTGGTGAATAGTCGTTGCTGTCGTTATGCAAATACGGCACTTTTACACACAGACGTACCCATGTGAAGCCAACACAATTCATCCCAGTCGCCAGCATGTCACCAAGAAGCGATGGGTACGAGTTGAGTGCCGGGAAATATCCATGCATGTGTGGGCTCTGCCAGTGTGCAATCTGCATGCACGCCAAAACTTGCATTAATACAGCAGAAATTAAATAGTGGTCCGATGTTTTTTCAGGTTACACCACATGTTGTAAGGCATGATCCTATCTTATTCACGTTTCTCTGGCTGGGTGCGTTACCCCAGGCATGATGAGCCGCTCCACGTCCTCAAAGATTTTCTCCCAGGGCTCTCCTTGCTGCGCAGGGCCAGGGGGCAGCAGGGGACGCAGGTAGCCAGGCCGCACGGATGGGTTCACAGGCCGGTCACGTAGCCCAGTTAGATACGCGGCGATGTAGTCCACCATCTCCTTACCTGTGCAGAAACAATACAATACTTGTGTAATGAGAGAGCGCCACCTGGGGGGTTACAGGGGACATCTGCACGGCCACCGCTGGGTAACCGGTATCCAATCAGGAATAGGGATTCAATCTAGACCAAAGGTAATGGGCGGAGCTACGGAGAATATTCCGTAGCTCCGCCCACCTAGAGGGTTCCACGAGGGGGCGTGGCTGTAGGCGGAGCTTAGCTCTGCCGGGGGGCATATAAGCAGAGGCAGTAGAGGACTCGAGGTTAGTGTGGGGAGCCTGGAGTCCGGTCTGCATCATCACCTACCTCTACTCGCCAACGGCTACGTGGCGGGCTCTGCCAGCGAAGCCTTCTCTCCTCCCAGTGCGCTGCCAGCCTGCGGCTAGCGTGGAGAGAGAGAGAGACGCAACAGTGGAAGAGAGAGAGCGCGCGTCATGGCAGTAGAGAGAGAGAGAAGCCATCCAGAGAGAGAGCGGTGCTGTGTGGACATTCTGTTAAATAAAAGACACCAGTCAAGAGTCGTCGTGGAAGTCGTTTATTACATTGGAGTCAGAAGTGGTTCTTCTGGAGACGGAAACATACAACAGAAAGAGAAATGTCCAAGCATCTCAAGAAGAAGAACCCACCTGTTGAGTCTTCCGACGATGACGAGGCGGTGACCCAGGACCTGCCGACCCCGGGATCCATGGTCCTGGTTACAGCAACCACGGCTGGTGAAGTCGCCGTACCAGAAGTGGGCGGGGCGGCTGTCGCTTCTTCACCACGGCAGGTGGAAGACGCCTGGAGGAGGATGGAGGAGCAGCTGGAGTCGCTGCGGACAGTGCTTCTCCAGCTGGTATCGCTCGTCGCCTTGTCCACGTCGTCGGGGCGCCCGCAGGAGGTACTGCTGAGGGGTGACGTGCAGAGGCTTCAGACTGGAGCCTCAGAGAGTCCCCCTGCGGAAACAACGGCCGCCGTCGCGGGCACTGGGGAGGCATCTGTCATTACACGTGCTGCGGAGACTACGCGGCAGGACGCCGCCATCTTGGGCGGCGCGACTAAGGCGCGGTCGGAGCCCGCCATTTCCAGTGAGCCGCGGTGCGCGCTGGCTGCGAGGGCCGCTGCTCCTGCTGGGCAACACGGGGCTGAGCGCACCCGCCAGCTTCCACACGTAAAATAATTAATCACTGCCGGCGGTGATTGGAGTGCCTTCACTTGGAAGTTTGAGGCAGCGTTCCGGTCAGTGCAATGGTCAGAGGAGGAGGCGCTGGTCGCTTTTCCAACTGTCCTGGACGACGATGCTCTAGCGGTCTTTAGATCGATCCCTCCTAAGAAGAAGAAGACGCTTGAAAGTGTTTATGCCAAAATTGCGGAGGTCTATGAACCACCTTCCAGCACCCGATGAAAGTTTATGCAACGGAGAAGGGGAAGCTCAGAGTCTCCGCTCGCCTACTGAAGTGCCCTTATAGCATTGGCTTTGGCCGCATACCCCGATGTTAAGCAGGAGGTTCTTGACTCATTGGTCATGGACTGCATGTTGGCCTTGGCAAGGGACATTGGAGTGGTCTTGCCCTCTTGCGGGCATGATGTGCTAGGTGTCTTCATGCGCATGAGAGCCTGCAGTGCTGGTCCCAGATGGCTGCGTGGACGAGCGACCCTGCTCGGGGGATGGTGAGCCCAAGGGGTGGACATCCCGCCGGAGCACGCAACTGCTGAGGGCAGTTGGCTGCTGCTGTGCCTCGTTGGGGTCGAAGTCGAGATGACCCTTCGCGATACCGGAGGTTCGGCGGTCTGCATCAGCGTGAGGATGGGGATGCCCGGCGGACGGCCATCACTTGCTTCAGGCGTGGCCGCTTGGGCCACTTCGCGAGGGAGTGCAGGGGCTGCCCTCGATCGCCGATTCTGCCTGCTGCTCCGGCTCCTGCTGTTTCTCCGATGGATCACCATCATCGGCCAAAACTCAAGCTCGTAACGAGCGTTGTGCACGAAGGTCTGGCCGCGGAATGCCGTGGTCTGTGGGTGGCTTCATTGCCCTCAGACGCCTTTGGGAGAGGTGCCTTTGGTCATTGGTGTGCGCGCATCCGGGCGGGATCCCGTCATTGGTTCGTCCACACGTCCCGGTTGAAACCATTCTTTCCTCCGCGCGTCGCTTCGTCATCTCTAAAGATTGGCTTGCCGGGGACTGATGCATCCGACGCGCCAACCCAGTTTCCGGTTGATCTCCCGAAAGACTCTGTTTTGCCGCCCACAGCCGCCCAGGCCCTGAGAACTTCTGCTGCTGACGACTCCGCTCGAGCCAGCCCTACGTCGGCTGCATCCGCTGCCGCACCGTCGGCACTTCCACCGCTGGCTGCATTGGAGCCAGCGAGGCCGCACATTCCAAGTCGAGCCGATTTCGTTAATCCTTCCTATTTCACGCTGGTTTTTTCGTGTTCATTCGTTGCGTTCAATTTTATGCATTCTGTTGTTGTTCCGATTCTCGCCGGGTTCTGCGGTATTGCTCTCCCATTATCTCCCATTATCTGGGTTAACCTTCTTCTTGGTTCTTTCGGTAAAGTCACGTAGAAGGGAAATAATAAAATAATAAAAACAAAACATAATAAAATAATTCTCACGACGTTTCGGCCACAACGCAAGCAGCCGTCCTCAGGTGAAGAACAGGTCTGTCGGAAAGACAGCGTCTGAATGAAACACCACCAGGCTTGGAGCGTATATTTAAGCTGGGTTGGAGGGGGAAGAGCACCTTGACAAAATAATGTGTATATCAAGAATAATTTAGCATATTTATGGGAAATGCAGATATGGGATTAGTCATTACTTGTGGAATGCGTAGGAGGTGGGCGGGGGGTTTCAAAGTCATAATATGCCCGTGCATTATGCAGGATTAGCAGCATCAAAGGGAGGGAGTAGGGTTAGCATTAATAAAGGGAAGGAATGTTAATAGTATGGAGCTGCAGCAACTAATATGCTTATAGGCTATACATTGTAATATTACACTATGTATTATTCTACCCACCCTACTGTATACCACACTGCTGTATATTCACTATACAATTCCGATACGATATATTACCTTATACATTGTATTAAACATTACACTTTTATACTATTTATTATTATACAGTCTGCTATACACTATACCATTGACTGTCACGTGAAAGGGACTAAGAGGAAGCAACGAAATATGTCAATGGGAGAGTGGTGGTAGGAGACTTGCAGCGGAGCAAAGAATCCATTCCCTGCGGATAATAAAATATATATAGTCAATGCCAGTGAGTGGACTGCGGTTTGCTTGCGTTGTGGCCGATATGTCGTGAGAATTATTTTATTGTTTTATTTTTATTATTTTCCTTCTACGTGACTTTACCGAAAGAACCAAGAAGATGAATCCCTGCAGTCACGAAAGCTTTAAATCGAAATTTGGGTTAACCTTCTTCCTAGCCAGGACGGCTAGTTTTTTTTTATCCCGGAGGGGCGGGGGGGGGGGGTGTAATGAGAGAGCACACCGACGGGCGACGGAGGGCTGCATAGGCGCTGCTGCATCGGTCATAGCCAATCAGGGCTAAGGGTTCCATCTGGGCCAAAGTTCATAGGCGGAGCTCATGGGTACATGCGGGAACCATCAGGAAGGTTCTAAGGGGGGCGCGGTTAGAGGCGGCGCTTTGCTCCGCCGAGAGGGATATAAGAAGAGGCAAGGGGAGGACTCGGGGTCGGTGTGGAAGCCTGGGTTCAGACTGCATCTCCGCCATCTCGTCATGCCACGTGGCAGTCTCGAGGGCCCGAAGCTCTCCTGACTCCCGGCACGCCATCGACCAGCGGTGCGTGGGGAAGTGAGAGCGAGGGAAGCCGCGTGGGAACGGAGGAGCAGTGAGCGCGTACATGCGGCGAGAGGGAGAGAGGGTGACCATCGAGAAGGAAGTGCAGAGCCGAGCAGTCATCACTAAATAAAGAAAGGACGCAAGTCTCAACCTGTCGTGGAAGTCGTTTATTACATATGTAAAGCATATTCAAGCATTGCCCTTAAGCATAACTCTTGAGATAATTAATTACGATCATACACATTAGCTATCCTGGTTACCATTAAAACTGACAAGCTATACTGTAATCCACAAGCATTATACAGCACAGTACGCTCCTGTATAATATAATACAAATACATAACACATTTGTAATGCTCGTAATAAAAATGCGCGTTGCTGAAAGAACGTAATTTATTGCGTATATGACAATAATATAAATAAGCATAAGTAGCTTTTTAAATAATGGGGCATTTAATGTATTCATCCTGCAATATAACTTTGCTGAATGATCAACATGCAGTCCACGATGCAATAGATTAGTTCGAACATATCTCGGGAAAACATGACGTATCTAAAATGTTGCCTCAGAGAAGATAGATTGAGAAGCGAGCACAACAACGCACACACAACACGCACACGAATAATACTTTCAAAAAGTTATCTGTGTTTCAAAAGGATTGCCATTTCAAAGTGGTGCGTTCAATATCAACTGATCGTGCAAAGCAGTTGCTGCCGTCGAGTTACATGAATAAGAAATGTTTGAGTCATTTATTTTCGTTAATTGCATAACCTTGCCGAGGAATCTATTGACGTATACTTTTGCCTTTGCATATTAGAGTGTCATATGTTTGTTTAGAATTAAAATTGCTTAACACCAAGTGCTCGAGTGCTTCTTTCCCAGTCCATGCAAAACTGTCTTATTCATAAGAACTGTAACCTGCGATGAGATATGAATTTGGAGACCTAACATAACATAAACACACTAAGATAATCAATAAATGTTTAATCAAAGATAATCGGTTATCTCGATTGATACAACTCTGGATAACGAAACTAAGCGTAGTTATCATAACTGCGCACATTAACATAATAGCAAGCGTTCGCATAAATAAATACGATTATCTCCGTGATTATCATAAATTATGCATATAATTACATAAATTAACATAATTCGTGCGATTTAGGCATTTTTTGAAAATTCATTAATTTTTATTGTTTTTATCAAAA